GCTTGATCACCCTAACCACTCCACTGCTGGTCTCATTGATGCCTAACTGCTCCCCTGCCAGTCCAATAGCCCCCACTGCCCTCCCCTGCTTGCCTGGTCCCCCACAACTCTCCTCCCCTGCCACCTTGGTTGCCCCCAACTGCCCTCCCCAATTGCCCCCAACTGCCCTCTTGTGGATGTGGCCATCTTATGACCACATGGGGGTGGCCATCTTGTGACCACATGGGCGTGGCCATCTTGTGACCACATGGGGGGGCCATCTGTGCCATGGTGTGACGGTCTATTTGTATACCTCTTTATTATGCAGGATGGTGTCTTCCTCTTCTAAACTGGAGGACTCTTTTCTATACTCAAGTGATAATGTAGTAATGCTGTGTACCACCTTTATCATCAATACCAGAAATTAAAATGCAGACCAGGATTACTCTTCAAAATATACCTCCATCCCCATGAAGCCACACACCTGTGCAATGAGATTATCATTGATCAGGACTTTGGCAATTGGCTTTACAACCAATTTATGATCATCAGAAGAACAGTAGGGTCATTATTTTATAGTCACAGCCAATGCATTCAGGTTTGCTTGATCCATTTCTTAACTTTTTGTCTACTATTATCCCAAGTCAAAGCCAAAAATATTTTCTATTTCCTGAACATTTTCAAATAAATATACCTATATTACTCTCTCTATATATGATATTCTTTTATATAAAATATATGATTTGTAGTCTCATTTTTCATATTTTCTTATTTTTAGAAGCTCCTTTTAAAAATATCTGGCCCTCAAAATATTTAGGGGAATCTTTGCACATTGTTGCCACTTAATGAGAGAAAGGAGGCAGAGAAACATAAAAGTAAGTAGTAGTGGACAAAATGAAATAATAAACTATTGGGTGTAAAACTAGAGTTCTTGAAAATGACATCCAATTCACTTACTAGTATTTTTACAGCTGACAAAATGGAGCCCAGGGAGGTTAAATGACTTGACTGAGATAAGACATCTAATGAATGAAAGAGAAAGGACTAGAACCTATGTACCAGAAATAAACATATGCACTTCAATTTTGTTACATATAAACACAGTAAGAAAATATCCATTTGTTTATAAATGTGGGATTTACAGCTGAGGCTCTGTGATATACTGAAAAATACCTGAAGCTGGCAGTCAAAGGCCACTTGTTCCCATCTCTGTTTACCCACTTAGTGAATGTGTGGCCCAAAACAAGGTACTTTCATTTCTATGTGCCTTAGTCTCCTAATCTGTTGCATGGAGGTGCCAAGCACACCACAAATGCTCAGAGTTCTCCAGATTCCTTAGTGGACAAAAACAAAGCACCCACCTGAAATCCTGCCATGGACTAGGGTGAGGCTTGCCTAAAAGAGGCTCTCCTTCTTAAGGAGATAGTCAGTCTTCTACAGGTGCAGGATTGGCATTTGTACAACCCTGAGAGAGTGCCCCCTTAAATTGTGTGCCCTAGGTACCTCACAATTTGCCTCATCCTAGTCCTTTCCCTGGTTGAGAAGACGTCTAATAATAGCAATGGCTAAAATTTACTAAGCACTCACCATTTCTAGTCACTATGCTAAGAATGTTTCAAGTCTTATCTCTTTAATTCTTTCCTCCCACCATGTAAATTAGGTTAGTATTATTATGCCTTGTTTATAAATAAGGAAACAGAGGATTAGAAGATTAAGTAACTTGTACAAGATCACACAATCAGTTTTTGTCAAAGTTATGACAGTGGATTTTGCATATTAACAACTTATAGTCAGCATTATTCTGCTACATAAATGAGCTTGAAAGAAGTGACTTTAATACTACTGCAATTTAATGACCTGACTCTCAATATAAATGACCCTCAAACAGATGCACTATTATGCTTTGTTATTCTGTAGCTCCTGTCTTTTCAGTATCCATGGGAAACTTCTTCAGAATTAAAAGGAAGAGTGAAACCAAGGGGAAGGACCTGATTATTTCCTTAGTGTGTCATCTGTATCATGCAAATATAGTAACTAATGTAACAGTCCTTTATATTAATGTTTGTAGATCTGAAGTATGCCCCTTGTGCTAACACACCTAAACAAAGGGTCACATGAATTAGCTGTTTCCTGAGATGGTGAAAGTTTCAGGACAAAGCATTGATGTAGCAGTTTGGGAAGGTGAAATAAGGAGAATGCATATAACATTTGTGTGATTTCCACAATATGGGATAAATATTATATATTTTATCTCCTTTATTCTTAATAATCAGCATTCTAGGTGGCTAGTATTATTGCCAACAAACAGATGACAAATATGAGGCTCATAGGTTAAGTAACTTGCCCCCAAAAGTCTCCAAGCTTATCAGTGACAGGGAAAGGAGTCAAAGCCTGTACTGTCCCTAAGACCCAAGATATTTCCTCAGTGACCTGAAGCTTCTTATGGTTTGAATCTAATTGTTTAGGGAGCTCGAATTTATCGAGAGATGGTGAGGACATGGAAGAATGCCCACTAGTGCATTTTCAAACATCTGTTGTGTTGTCTTATAAATTAGAAAATCGAAGTGGAGATATATAAATACTTGCTGGGAGGCAGAAATCTCACAATTATAGAAATAAAAATGAATACAAATAGGTATAAACTTAGAATATTCTGGATATGTAATATCATTTCTTCAAAGGAAAATAAAATTGTATGTGTCACTATGTAATCTGTTGATATATCTAAGTTAGTATCTAATTAGCAAGGAAAAACATCTGGAAGGGCACATAGCCTACCAGTAATAATGGTTCCATGGAGTAAACAGCTGTTAGGTAAGAGAGACATAGGTTAAATTTGAACTTCTAATATGTATTATTTCATTTTATTTAAATAACCACAGATTGATTTCATAATATGAAAAAATAATTTTTTGATACTTTCAACATACAGAAAACAGACAATTTTAAACAAAATCATAAAACCAGTAATGTATTAATATTAAAAGGTGTTCACAATATACTCTTCAATGGGAAAAGTTCCAAATACAACCTATATAGTAAAATCCTATTATTTCAAAATAAACCAATGTATATGTAAAGTTTGTTAAAATATATAACTCCAAATATTTACACACACATACACACAGAAAGTTCCTCTTAAGTTGGGGCTGGGGCTCCCTCTTCCTCCTCTCTCAAGTCTGAGGTAGTTGGTGAGTTCCTTAGCAATATTCTTGCTCTAGATTTATCAAAAGTTGATAGAGCACAAACAGCTCCCTCATTCCCCAACATATTCAAGCTGAAACCTTCATTAATACAAATATGGATTTTTCTAAATTTCATTAAAAAGAAAAAAAATGACTTTTTAATAATGAAAACCAACAATATTTTAAAAATCAAATTAGGGAGCGAATATATCATACAATCCCAATCTATTTCAAAAGATAAATATGGATGGAAACACCTTGAAGAGATAAACTAAGTTTCATTTTTCTACTGTATCCAAAAATCTGTCATTCATTCATTCATTCATTCATTCATCCTTCTATTCATCATATAGTGTTTGAGTGTCCTGTGTGTCAGCTAATGCCAGCCTAAATCTCCGTCTCTTGACCTCCTCCTTCCTGAGCTCCAGATCTGTAATAGTCTACACTTGACTAGACCTGTTTAATGTTAGTGTTCACCTGTACACACATGACCAGAATCACACATAATAGCACACCAGCATAAATCAAAGAGTCCAGAAGCCCTGGAAGGCAACCACTGAAGGGAAGGAAACAGGAGTAGAGTAGAGACATCCTGATACTTTGAGCATTTCAGCTATCTTCTCATTCATGCACTCACTTTTTAAAATAATGATTTGTTTCTTCCAGTTTGCGCTCACTGCCAAGATGGTGTAAAAAGATTTAAAAGATGCAAAAACTCTTGGAAGGTCTCCTTCTTGGTTTCTCTCATAAGCATGAACAACAGAATTCAGGCACTTTCTATAATTGTGCTCTTAAGTTTCACAGTTTTCTGGACATGCCCAACTGCCAGGTAGTGAACTTCCACACAGGATTTCCCCAGAGATGAACCAGGTGAATAGGGTATTTCCTGACTGTTATATCTGGCTAGGGTCTCAGATTAGCCCTGCCTTCTCTTTACCTAGCTAATTCCTCCTTATCTCTCAGGTCCCGGGTTAAACAGCGCTTCCTGTGGGAAGTCTCTCCAACACACCCAAGACCAGTCAGGTACAGTACTTGTACTATCTGCTCTGTCCCATTACACTCTGAATTTCCTTGTCATGGAAGCTACAACACTTCATCATTATTGCTGGCTTCACTAATTTCCCCCTTAGACTGCAAGTTCAAGGAGGGCAAGGACATGTGTTTTATTTTGTTACCATGGTAATGTGTTACAACTCTAAAGCTTCATGTTTATATTTTACTTAACTTCAAAACTGGTGTGGATTCTTAGTAATAATTTTTACTATACCTAAGAGTGTCCTCACCCTTTTATAATTTTATTATAATTTAACCTGATTTATTTAATAACAAATGAATTTCTATATGCTATTAAAATTGCAAAGATGTATGTGTTTATGTTAATAAGAGCCTTGAAATTTTTGATTGACAGGCCTTTGGTCTTTAATTTTATGTTTTATCTCATAACACCTATACAGGAAAGACAAAATAATATAAAAGATCAAAGGAACATAAATCTTTCATAATCTTGCCACAGCACTGATACATTTTTCTTAAATAACTAATTATGAGAGGAATGACCTTTATTTTCTACTAGGGGCCCGGTGCACGAAATTCGAGCACTGGGTGTGTGTGTGGGGGAGTGTCCCTCAGCCAAGCCTGCCCCCTCTCACATACTGGGAGCCCTCAGGCGTTGGCCCCCATCACCCTCCAATTGCAGGATCAGCCCCTTGCCCAGGCCTGACGCCTCTGACAGAGGTGTCAGGCCTGGGCAGGGAACCTTCATTTCCCCCCATCACTGGTTCTGCCCCCATCCCAGGCCTGATGCCTCTGGCCCAGGCATCAGGCCTGGGCAGGGGACCCCCAGACCCCTCCGATTGCTGGCTCTGCCCCTTGCTCAGGCCTGATGCCTCGGCCAGAGGCGTAGATCCCCATCACCCTCTGATCACCTGATCGGCCCCTTGCCCAGGCCTGACACCTCCGCCAGAGGTGTCAGGCTTAGACAGGGGACCCCCTTCTCCCTCCGATCACTGGCTCTGGTCCCCGTCCAGGCCTGAGGCCTCTGGCCCAGGAATCATGCCCGGGCAGGGGACCCCCATCTCCCTCTGATCACTTGCTCCACTCCCTTCCCAAGCCTGACGCCTCTGATCCAGGCTTCAGGCCTGGGCAAGGGGACCATCATATCCTCCCAACCCCCGGCTCCGCCCCCCACCCACGAGCTGCAGTGGCCCTGTGATCGCAGGCTCCGCTTTAGGCCCAGGCAAGGGACCCCTAGCTCCCAGGACTGCCTGCTTCGACCCTGCCCAGCTCCCATCGCTGGCTCCACCCTTACTTCCTGCTATCACTGGCCAGGGCGACAAAGGCACCCAATTCTCCGATAATGGCTGGGGGCAGGGCAAAGGCGGGCCCCCTGGGTTTCCTTCCGATCACTGTCAGTGGCAGGGGGCTTCTTCTTGCTTTCCCTTTCGCCTCCCTGCATTGTGCCTACATATGCAAATTAACAGCCATCTTGTTGGCAGTTAACTGCCAATCTTAGTTGGCAGTTAATTTGCATATAGCCCTGATTAGCCAATGAAAAGGGTATCGTCGTACGCCAATTACCATTTTTCTCTTTTATTAGTGTAGATTGCTAACAAAGGTATTTCATGTTGCATTTAAAATAGATCTAGCTCATTTATGAGTTTGTCCTCTTCATGTCCCTGAAATCCATATGGGTAAATTTTGGGCTTTTGTGAATAGCCCTTGATAACTAGTTTGATGTGTGTGCACAGGAGCGCTTGTCAGAGTGTATTTTTGTGTACCGAGAACAATAATCTGTTTCTATATACCCCTTCATTAATATTAGTAGATATGCTTTGTGTTCTTTTACCTTCAATAAACTTACACTTGTGGTAAGGACCAAAATTAAATATTTAGGTTGATGTTTCCATACTCTCTTGAACATACTTAACTATTTCCTTAGGGTTCAGTTCAAGACATGGAATTGCTGCCTCAAATGGTATACACATACTTAATTTAATTCCCTACCTGCCAACCAGAAAAGTTGTACCAATTTAAAGTCCATAAACTGGAATTAAGTGAAAAAGAGCCTCAGGAAGTGAGGATTATGGCTGTATTGATGTCCTGCTAGAAATTGCAGGCCTTAGATTCTACTGAGAAGCAGCTTTACAGCCACAATAATAGTAAATACACTTCAGAGTAGTCTGTAATGGCAAGAGCACAGAAATTGGAGTCAGTAGCCTTAGATCACAGTTTAAGTTTGATGAAGAATATATAAAACTATTTTTAAATCCTTGTATTATCATTATTATGTAACAAAGTGTACTCCTCTTACATCACAGTAAGCGGGAGTTAATCCAAGATCTCATTGAGCCAATGTGTTGATCAGACCATTCTATTCAGTTATCACAAGAATTTTACCAAAGGATTCTGCTCTCATTACCTGAACATTCATTGCCAAAAATTCCTTGAAAAAGAGAAATATGCTTGGACTTTGCAAAATGTTTCAGATGTCTGCTCTAAATGCTTAGCACTTTTCTTCAAACCTAAGAGTTGCTAACTCAGGTTTTGGTGTCCAAGAGATAGGAAGACTCAAACAAATGACTTGGGCAGAGATTGCTGATTTTGGTGCAGGATTGGGCAGGCTGGGTCCCCAAGAGAAACCTCTGAATAGTAAAATATTTATATAAGAGTTAGATGACTGAGGCAGACATTGTATCTTAGACCCTGGAAAGGGAGCCATTTATTTTCCTACTTGCACGTAAGTTCTTCTTTCTCTTTTTCAGCAGATAGAGTTTGGCACTGCAGAGTCCCTCTGAAGCAGCATGACTCAGCCAGATACTATAGAAAGAGGCCTGTAAGAGCAGGTTTGTTCCATTGGATTGTATGACTATTTGCAAAGGATAGACATAGGTATTACTTAATAGTGTTTGGGTGTGAGGACTAGACTTCCTTTCAACATTTACTTCAGATACTACTAGAGTAATTGGAATTTTTTTGCAATTACATCAACATTTTTCATACTTTACCTATCATATATTACTTTTCATAATTTGGAATTAAAAATAAAATTTTAAATGGTCAAGATATAGAATAAAAAGGAAAGTTAGATTTAAAAGTAGTACCACAATGAACTGGGTTTTACACCAGTGCTCTCTCACCTTTTTGTTTTTAAGTAAAAATTCAATGTCCATCAAAAATGTCATTTTCTATATTTTTTCCATAGATATATTCCGTATTAAGCAATCTCCAGTTATGGAATTCTGAATGAATTAATTATGAACTGGTTATTCTTATTACTTAACAATATTACAGCAGAAATTTCTTTTAAAGAGAGTTAAACCCCTAATGTTTAAACTAATGTTCAAAGTTATTGACTTTCCCCAATATCAAAAGGGCAAGGGCATAAAAACATAAAGGTATATGGGAGGCCCAGTAAAATTATAAATCAGAGAATGTAAAAAGGTAAGGCACCTTGATCAATCCAGTTCCCTTATTTTTATGGTTGAGAAAACAGGAGCTAAGAAAGGTCCAGTGATGTGTTGATGATAGAGCTGATTTGTGGGTGAGAAAGGACTAGGCACCAGAAATGGAAAACAGTACTCCTAACAGATTCTCAACTATAGGCATGCAGTTTCCACTGTCCCTATGATAGACATCCAAGTTGCCTTCAATTTTCTACCACCACAAATATATCCTTATGCATATTTCCTTATTTAACTATGTAAAAAAATGACTTTGAGATATACATCTAGGAACAGAATTACTTGGTCATTGAGCATGTGTACCCCTGCTATGAGTAAGCACTTCTATATTGATCTCCAGAATAAATGCATCAGTATGTACTTCTATCAACAGTGTATACAGGTCCAAATAACCCTCAGCAACACTTTCATTCTAATTTTTATCTGTCTATGAGGTAAATGATATATCATTGCTGTTTAACTGGAAACTACTAATTGATTTTAATGCTAAATACATCTTGTCTGACTTGATTATATTTCTGGGGGGGGGGGTGTTTATTTTTTTATTATTTTTTTGGTGGTGGTGGGATGGGGGAGTTGCCGCTATGCTGTATACTAGTTTTTGCATCAGTACCATGGTGGCGTTGTTTACTTCATATTTTATGGCAAGAAAAAAGAATGAGAAGTTACACTTTTAATGAAAAATTTACCAGCTCATCCAATACCAATTCTTGAATATTCCGTGTTACCCACTACCAGAAATGCCAAGTTTAACATTTTAAAACTGAAGTTTAACATTTCTTAGAACTGAAGTTTTACTCTGTTTATTAAATTGTATCTTAGATTTTTCACCCTGTCTTATCTTGTTTTAATATTGTTGCTTCTCAAAACATTCTAGTAGCTGAAAAATAACATATCTCCCATTTTTGCTGTCTGGAAAGCCAAGAACGACAACATAACAATAAATTTAGCGAACATTTGTTGAGCGGTTACAATGTATCTAACACTTTACTTACATTATCACCCTTAATCCTAAAGTACACATAAAGGTATAGATGCTCTTCTTATCCCCATTTGAAACATGAGAGACTGAGGTACAGAAGACTCAGCTGGTTTAAATCCAAATCTCATTGCAGCAAGACCATACCCCTAACCACTGTTAAATTAAAATGAATTGTATGAAAAACTCAATCTTGGAGCATTTCCAAACAATAAAATGTCACTTTATTATTTTTTTAATCATATATGATTAAAAAAATAATAAAGTGACATTTTATTGTTTAACTGTTTATCCCCAAAGGAGATAATCCCATGTGGTAAAGTAGTGGGTGGATGCTTCTGATGAAAGGTGCAGCATTTCACTTCCCTCCTGATGTTCTGGCAGGAGAGAACCACAAGTCGTTTTTCAGTTCAAAATGGGAACAACAAACAAATCAGTCAGTGAATA